AGGAAATAAAGACAGAGCAGTAGTTAAAAGAGTGGGCCCGGGGGGACCTTCGCCACCTTATGCCGGGAACAGTGAAGGCCCGGTGTCCTGGGTTAACTCAGTATTTATTACACACGTTGTCGTTTAAATCAGCAGATGAATAATCACGAGGGAAAGCAACAAACTGCACCCTGCGTCACTCTTTACTGCAGTTACCACTTTAACTCGCTGCTCTGTGGCCACTTCAGCTAAATTATTCTTTAACTACTCTTCTCTGATGTTAAACTGAAGAATTGGAATGCAGTTAATGAAACAAAGAACAAAGCTTAGAAGCAGGATGTGAAAGCAGACCCCCAGTCAGAGCACAAATTCCAAGAGAGGTTGTTAGGCCTCCCGGAGCCTTGCCCGGAGCCTTGCCCGGATGGCAGCCTTGCAGATGGGCTGGTGCCACACCATACGGAGAACTGGTGGGAAGAAGCACGTTTCTCGAATCTCCCTGAGAGGTTTTTCTCTCCTAGTGAGATCTGGTGCTTGCCCTGTTCCCACCACGTCCTGCACCTGCTGGTCATCTCTTCCAATCCCCTTCACAGTGTGCCTCTCACTGACAGGAACGTCCTGCCTCTGCAGGGCCCCCTCTTTACCACCTTTATCCAGAGTCCCACTGGGGAGAGGTGAAGCCACCGCAAGACAGGTCTTTGTCTTAAAACTGCCAGCAGACTTTTGGTGTCTTCCATGCTGCTTTTGTGGTCTGTGTAGGTGCCTTCCTCAACATCCACCTCTTCAGTCTCTGTTCCTTGTTCATAACCTGCAATCAACTTTTAATCAAATTTTCTAAACTATTATTTTAATTTTTTTAATTTTTATTTATTTATTTATTGAGACAGAGTCTTACTGTGTCGCCTTCAGTAGAGTGCCATGGCGTTACAGCTCACAGCAACCTCAAACTCTTAGGCTTAAACGATTCTCATGCCTCATCCTCCCAAGTAGCTGGGACTACAGGCACCCACCATAATGCCCAGCTAATTTTTGGTTGTATTTGTCACTGTTGTTTGGTAGGCCTGGGCTGGGTTTGAACCCACCAGCTCTGGTGTATGTGGATGGTACCCTAGCCGCTGAGCTACAGGCATGGAGCTTCAACTACTATTTTAAAAAACATAAATTAGGGCTGCACCTGTGGCTTAGTGAGTAAGACACCACCCCCATATACCAAGGATGGTGGGTTCAAATTGGCCCCGGCCAAACTGCAAAAAATAGCTGGGTGTTGTGGTGAGCACCTATAGTCCCAGCTACTCAGGAGGCTGAGGCAAGAGAATCCCCTAAGCCCGAGAGTTGGAGGTTGCTGTGAGTTGTGATGCCACAGCACTCTACTGAAGGCGACAAAGTGTGACTGTCTCTAAAAAAAAAACAAAACATAAATTGGTCATGCAAGCACATTAGAACTACCTCTTCCTGCTAGGCACCCCAGTTCCTCCCACAGAGTTTGTCAGAAATATCAGGGGAGGATGCAGGAAGGCTCAGCACACTCCTTGGACCATGGAGTCACACTGACCAACACAGCAAAAGAACCCCCAAATCCCTGGGTCTGGCCAATGTAGACTGAGTGAGTGAGTGAGGACAGCCTCCTGGGGGCGGGCACTGGACAGCAGAGCAGGTGCAAACTACAAATCAGGGCTGGATAGGACAAAAGCAGGAAGGCACAGGCCACACAGGTGACTGGAAATAGGCATTGAGAGCACTCTGAGAGGCCGAGGCGGGTGGATTGCCTGAACTCATGGGTTCAAGATCAGCCTGAGCAAGAACAAGACCCTGTCTCTATAAATAGCTGGGCGTTGTGGCAGGCACTTCCCTGCTCAGGAGGCTGAGGCAAAAGAATCGCTTGAGCCCAAGAGTTTGAGGTTGCTGTGAGCTGTGATGCCATAGCACCGTACCAAGGGCGACATAATGAAACTCTGTCTCAAAAAAAAAA